GAAAAAAACAGCAAACACGAATTGTTATCAACATCAAACGGTCGCTTGTTAGCACTAATAACAAAGAGCGCACGCATGATAAGCAAAAACAAAAAGAAGTAAAGCGAAAACGTCATCAAATCAAAGCAAATCCGCGGGTGACGTCCCTTAACTGCAAATAGGTTAGATACACCAATCCTACATATGTAAATAGATTACCCTAATGCTCAGGTGCTAACAATGCCACGAGACCATAACTACAACAACAAACTGTAGTACGAAGAAAAAGTGATAATTAAATGTGTTGCAATTAAGAATGCCCAAAAATGGTATTGTGTAATTGCCAAAAGCTCACCAAAAACGCACAACAAAAATGTCATGTCACAATGACAGCAGCACAAATGGGCGAAGCGCGTCGAAAACAAATGAACTGTTTATTTAACAATACATTTTGTTGACAAAAATGCGCACAATGAACGCACGTTGTGTGAGCGAATGAGCGCTAGTTTGAAGGGAGTGACTGCTAAAAGTATGATCTTGCCCCATTCGCCACTGGAAATTCCTCTATTTTCACTAGCGGTTAAATGCAAACACGCAAAACGCTTAAATTAATTTCTTTGAAAGCTTTGAACACATAATATGATGTCGTTAGATAATTGCAACAACAACAAATTACCGTTAGTTATAACTGCTGCCAACAGTTATATGTTTGGGTTTGTATGCGGCCATTCGGCACGCTCACACCCTCGATAAACCAAATAACGCATAAAAGTTATAAAAATACAATAGTTTATACAAATGTCGAGAAAATGTGAAAAATGTGCGCGCTAGTAGAATATTCTTAATGTGCACTCGTAAAAGTAAATTGAAGATTTCCACGAAAATCTCTAAAATGCACTCGAAAAAACGTAATAAATACTATGCTCTGGGAAATGTGGTGGAAAGTAGCAATAAAAGGTAGTTAAGCGCGTTTTTACGCTTTCATTTTGTAATGGTATCTTCTGGTTGTAAAACGATTTTCATGGAATAGTGGCCCAAAGGTGTAGAATAAGTGAGAATACATACATACATACGAGTATGTATATTTAAGAAGGAAATTTCAGGAGAAAAATATTTAATCGAAGTATATTCTCCTTACGAAAATGATAACTAGTGAAGCAAGTTTTTGACATGAAAGCTTTCTGGAGAAGTTTTTAAATTTTCAAAATTTTAACAACCTAATATTTTGTTTCAATAATTTTAGCAATCATTTTAATTTATTCAATTTTAAAGCGTCGAGGAAAGCTCATCTAATTGTATTAATTTATAACTGCATCTTTTTCTGCTTCTTTTAACGACATTGTAAGAAAAATCTTAAGAAGTATTAAAATATTTTAAAGCACATTACTATTGTTGTAAAGGCTTAAGTAAACGATACAAAATGGCTAGAAATTTTCACTGCATTTATTATACGGAAAACTTTCACTCGCCTCAAACACTAAAATATAAATATGTATATAAAATTTTACACTAGGCAAGCTTTTCTGCGTGCTTAAGACTACTTTTAGGATATATACCTATATAAGCGTACCTTAATAGTGAAAGCTAAACGAAATACAAACGAATCTGCTTCCATAAATGCTCAGAGTTTATATTCAAATATTTTCAGTGAAAGCTTTTTTAGTTTTCATGTCAAAATACGGTTTTATGTTGGAAATATTTATTTTTGCTATTTTTAAGCTTAATAATTGCAAGAGAATGAACAAGAGCAAACTATGAAAGCTCCGGTGAATGCTCTATTTTGACGATTTTTATTAAGAATACAATCAAAGCTTCAATGAAAGCTTTGGTAGAAGATCGATTTTGACGATTTGCAAATATTTAATTAATTCTTATTCATTTGCATAGTATGAATTAACAGCCTCTGATAATAATTCGTGGCTGTAAACACACATATGTACCTGCTGTTATCTTTGTCATTTAAGTCGTGTAACTGCACCTTAAAGGGTATTGTATTCGGCATCTTCCGTGACATCAAATATTAAATGAAAGTTGGTCAGAAGATTTTAATGGGAATAATGAAATGCGATTTTTATTAACAGCACGAATTCAAGGAGAAACAAATATAAATATCTGAAAATGTGAGTTATAGAAGATGAAATCGATTATAAGGGCTTGAAAATAAGCTAAAGGATTATACATTTTTGAGCGAAACACATCCAATATTTTTAATTTAAAAAAATATGACTTCAAAAAATATAAAAAATATTTTAGACAAAATATATTTTATGAAAAAAAAAATATTTTTGGGCTTTTTGTGAAAAAATACATAGCAAGTAGCTAAGTTTTCTAGCAGCCGCCGGTCAATCAACTCAACAATATATCAACATCAAATAGAAATCATGAAACATAAAAGCCGCAAAATAGATTACCATACAAAAGCAAGTTAATTGAAATTAGTACTAAAGTACTGAAAACTTACAGTAAAAACTAATAACGGTAATACTAAAAGCGTCAAATTAATTTGTAAACGCTCAAAATGGCAGCGTAACGGAAAAAAACATAAAAAAATATTCAGATTCAAGTTTATGACTAAGTTTCCACAATTTCTTGGTATGCTAATGCACACAAATATATAGACATACTTGTATGCATATAAACATATATTACATATGTACAAAAATGAGACAGACAACTGAAATTTTTTAACCAAATTTTTTTCCTATAATATAATCAGTCATATTTAGTAGCATCATTAAGAAGTCAAAGTAACTAAAACAACAATAACAACAACTAATACAATAGCACGAAAAGTGACTAGGGTAAAACTATCTGTATACAAACAAGCCATAAAAGCTGCATTTAAAAATAATACTGTAACCAATGTAAAACGGAAAGTAAGTCAAAGCCTGTGGGGGAGAATAAAAAAAAATAAAACGAGAAAAAAACAACAAAACGTTAGCTTCGATTGCACAGAAGCTAGAATACCCTTCACAAATAATAGAAGATATTATTTTGATGGTTCAGTTTGTATGGCAGCTATATGCTATAGTTATTCGATATCGGTAGTTACGAAAAATAAACAGCTTCTTAGGGAGATAAGGATAGGTGAGAAATTTCAGATTGGTATCTCAAAAACTGAGGGACCAGCTCGCATATATGTATACAAACGGACGAACAGACGAACATGGCGTCACGCTGATCATTTATATAAATATTTTATAGAGCCTCTGACGTTTTCTTCTGGGTATTACAAACTTCATGGCAAACCTAATATATCATCTTCAGGGTATAAAAATCAAAATTAACTAAAAATTTACTCAACGCACTAACAACAAGCGCGTTAATAGCGCGCGGTACTAAAACCATTTTGCATGCCAACGCAGGTGAACACATACATATATGTATGTCTCTGTTGTGCGATAACTTTACCACATTTTTACCGCTTTACTGACTCACAGCCGTTGAGTTTGTCTGTGTCACACTAATGGTAGCGCTATTTAAATTGGCTGAATTTATTCGCACACACTCATATATTTCTGTATGTGTTTGCTGAGTGCTGTTCAAGCTGTACAACGGTTTTAGTTGCTTGACTTTTGTTGCCACAAACGGTACACCAGTGCGTCGTTGGTGAGTGCGGTAGTGGTGGTGATCAAATATCAAAAAAAAAATAAAACTTCGAAAAAACATGAATTTTCACAAGCAATAAGAAAAATGAATTTAAAGCAAGCCGCATTAAAGGCAGCAATACAGACATTAAAGAGCCCAACACACACGCACACATGCAATTGCCTTAAACTTTGTCTCTGCGCGCCTACAACCACTTACATTTGTACTTGACTAAATTTGTACGTACATTTGTTTGTTTGTATGTTTGCTGGCTTGTACTTGCCACTGTTGGACCCCTGTCTTGCCACCACTGACCGTGGCACCACCTTTGCCAGCAAATGAGCGTGGACTCGGCGCTACTTCAGGTGCGCTCTATTACTGCTTCTTCCCCGTTTCACATTCCTTCCCACTTTTATGAGGTAAAGCGAGACTTTTGCTTAATTAAAATTTGTGAAAATGTTGCAGTACGCAAATGCAAAGCGAAAAACCAAGAAAAAAAAGTAATTCAATAAATAAAAAATAACTGTTAGTTGTTGTAAATGCTCGCATTAAATATAGTCAAACAAACGAGCCAAGTTAGTTCGCATACATTTTCATAAACATATTTATATATGTATGTATTGGTATGCCGTTTGTTGGCCGCCTGGTGTCTGCTTAACTTGTTTAGTTTGTGGCATAGGAAGCAGGAGCTCTCATATGCTGTACGACTATACATACAAATACATACTTATATATTATATGTATGTATATATATTTCTTTGTGGTCGTCGTTTGCGTATAATAAAAGTGAAAAAATGCGCCGCCCGCCGAATCCATCATTTCCGCTTCCATGCGTTTTGCTCGCAACAGCGCAGGCGCATTTTCAACAGCAGAAATATGTGCGTGTACTAGTTGTGTATGGAAAATGCATACTTACATATTTGAGTTTATTGCTTTTGTGTATGCAAACATACTAATTTGGAATTTTTATAAATATTTTATGCATATTTTTATGTACATATATGTGTGGATAATAATGTTTATGGCGTTGGAAAATGTCTAAATTCCTATGCATAAGCTGCTTTTGCAACATATAAATATGTTCTAGTTAATTAATTACAAATTAGTTATTTAAAATGATATAAATTTTTATTGTGTATTTGATTTAAATTACATTAATAACTTATTAAGAAACAATTTAAATATTTACCAAATCTTTTTCGAATTTTTGTTTGTTTTTATTTTATTTAAACTAAATTACTTTTTTTACTATTCAAGATAAAATTCTAAAGACATTTCTTCACAAAGTTTTTTATACTAATTCGGAGAAAATAAAAAACAAAAATGTAAAATCTTCAAATATGTGTACATATGTACTCAATTTTCTGTCTACATGCTTTTTAAACTTAAAAATATTTCTCATATAATATCACAAATATCTTTTTCTATTACAGAGGGTCGTGAATGCGTTAACTGCGGTGCCACATCAACGCCATTATGGCGACGCGACGGCACTGGCCACTATTTGTGCAATGCCTGTGGTCTCTATTATAAAATGAATGGACAAAATCGTCCACTTATCAAACCAAAGCGAAGACTGGTAAGCTCAAAAAACATATGAAACATATATATCTACTTACAAAATTTTATAGAAATTTGAAAAATAAATAACCAAATAACATTATATAAAATAAACATAATAACCATATTTTTTATCACCTAAAATAAATAAAATCGATAAGAATCGTGCGTAAAATCTCATTTTCATTTTAATTCAAAAAACTTAATTTTTAATGAAAAAATTTAATTTTATTTCATTTTAATTTAATTTAATTTATTTATTTTAATTAATTTCATTTATTATAATAAAGAGACCAAATTGTTTGGGGAAAACTTTTTTACATTAAAGTAAATTTATCACAAAAAGTTCTTCACAAAAGTTATTTTCTATTCCAAAAACTATCGTATATTATATATATTATTTTCACGCATTTTCCATGTACACATAACCTTACTTTTATATAATCACCTTCAAAAATATCAATGATTATTTGCTTAATCGCACATAAATCGTCTACATATTCCAAAAAATGACATATAATATAATATAATATATACATACATACATACATGTACATAAATATATGTTTGTGTGTGCGTATAAGGTTCTCAGAAATTCCAAAATTTAATAATATGTACTCAATTTACAATTTATGGCCATGTACGCTGTCTAGAAGAAAACACAGACAAGAAGAAAAAACACGGTCGCAATCATTAGGCGCTCATTTACTGTTACGCACAGACAAATTACAACAACAAATCGGGCAACACAATACAACAATAAAAATAAAAGATATAAAAAAAGAAGCAAGGAAAATCACAACAAATATAAACGACTGAGCTGCACAATGTCAACAGCAGCGAAACACGAACATAGGCAACAACAACAACATAACAGCTGTTATAGCCAGATATAAAAAAATATAAAAATTAAAAAGATATGAAGAAAAAATTAAAAAACCCAAAAAGTCAGCAAGCCGTAGAAGTCTTAATATCTCCCATTTACATCTGTAAAATGAGTGGGATACGCACCATGCACATACATAAACACACAAACCCAAGCAGACGACTGCACTCATTTAAGCCACATCTACTTGACAGTACATGCCTTCTAACAGATCCAGACATTATCGCCTAGCTGCGATCAGCCATAAGCGCGCCACAGTGCTGCCTACTCAACCAGTGGCGCCAACTACATCAAAAACCGCTGCAATCACAAAATCAATGCACCAAATCAGCATTACAACAATAACAACACAATATAAATATATACCTTTATAAAACAGCAATATTCTCACCAACCAGTGCCTGAGTGCCTTTGCTGCTACTTGAAATTGTAGCAGCTTGGTTACAGGGATGCTGCGCCACCAACTGCTGCATGCAGCTTCGAGATGAGTGGAGCGCAGCTGGTATGTGAGTAAAAATTTTAAGGCTATCAAAATAACATAAATTGGTCTATTAGCGTGCGCACGCATGTATGCATATATGCGTGTGGTTTTATCTACATATGTATGTATGTACGGCTGTGAGGGCGCTGGGTGTCAACCAGCAATCGACAGCTTCACGCTCGGGCAGGAGGTACACTTTCCCACCTTGCTGCATACTGCCCCGAAAGCAACAAATATTAATATGTTTAAGGCTACATATTCATATATTTCTTACATTTTAACATGCATACATTTCTACAATACACACATAAACGTATTTAGTGTATATAGGGGGTATGCGCATGCGCTTTGCTGCGCGTTGATTTCTCTGTTATTGGTATTTAAATTGTACGCAGTTGATTGCATTACATTAACATATATCTACCATCAATAACAGAAACAACAACACTAGCATACCTTCTCCATCGTATGCTGGCGCTGAATGGAGCGCATGCGCGTTGGCGTCAACGGCCGATCTTCAGTTTCAACTTCTGCAACATAATTTTCCGCCCTGTTCATCTTCCACATCTCCACGCACACACACATACATATGTATATACACTGCAATATCGCCTTCACCGTTGCCTATCATATTCCTCTCTGATCGGTGCTTTCGAACGGCGCGTCGTGCATCGTCTCATCGGTCGTCTGTGCGCTGCCTGCAATATGCTTATGAGGGAATTCCCAAGAAATTCACAGCTGGATATTTAGGGTTTGTTGATTTTTGTTGACATTTTTAATGCTGTTGACAAAATATGCAACAAATTAAAATTTATGCTGTGATTTTTATGTGCAACGGAATGCCACAAGTGCAGGGTAAGGGGAGTGCAGGGCTGTGCGAGCTATATTTAAGGCTGTAGAAGTAGGCGCATAATTGTTTTAAAAACTTTTTTAATTCTTTTCCGTTTTTTCAATTTGTTTTTGTATGTAAATTAAGTCATGCAAAGGCTTAAGTACTCATATATATGTAGGTATGTATATTAGTATATATATGTATGCGTATCTGTATTTCTGCACCTCTAGCACCATTCTTCCCCTATACATTCTGAATGAATTTCTTCACAATGCTAACTGCACATCATTAGCATCAAGCGCACCGGGTCCACTTGCCCCAAACCGCGCCTAGCTCAAACTGCGCGACTCTTGCGATTTGCAATTGTCACCAGCAACTGAATGTGGCCATTAAAAATATGTACATATGTATATACATACATATATATACACTTATGCATGTATTTGTATGGGGCGCGCTGGTTTATTGTGCCACAACAGGATGCTCCACATCAATGGCCACACTACTGTCATGTCGTTAAGTCAATTTGATATGCAATTCAATTGTTCGCCTGCTCAGCATAAATGCGCACAAACACACACACATACTTGTGAATGTTTAGTATAAACACTTGAGCTTATAAATAAAAAGCGTGTAGACTCTGGGTGGCAAGCCAAGCCAAACCATTCAGCCAGCCAGCCATCCAGTTGTCTTGGGGGCCCCACTAAACTGCCACCAGGCGAGGCAAATGGTCAAGCTGACTACATATTTGACTGGCATTGTATTGATCTCAGCGTTCAACATACTCCAAACATACATATGGGCATTTATGCAAAAGCAGCAGAAGCTGGAAAGGTAAGTCGGCACTTTGTTGCGGCTGAACTTGAAATGATGTGGCAGCAAAAACGCCGAAAAGGCAATATATCTAAGTTGAAGCGCGACAATAAAAACATTACAATTGAAGTGAAAAAATACGTTCAATGAAAATTTAAATATGTGAAAGCCACAACTAACAAGTTTTTAAGCAGCAAATTCGAATACTCCACTTCCGTGTGGTCCTGCTGCTGCTGTCTAAGCATATGTTTTTGCCGCTAGTAAGAATAAAGCGACTTAGATTTTGAATTTTCCTAGAGCTAAATGCTATATATAAGTTTGTATGTACTCCAGTTCACTAGTATATTTTTTTTATATAAAAGCTCTAGAAATCTCTTTAGGTTAAAAACTAAAATTACATCAAATTATTATTTCTTGAATATTGCTAAAATCTTCAAAAAGCTCTACTATTTTAAGGATCTTAATGAAAGTTCAGAAGCTCTACTTTTCGGATTTTTAATGAAAGCTTGTGATAATGTGCGGAAAGCTGTTATAGCCTCAAAAAGCTTTATTACATAAATTGTTATTTCTTGAATATTAATGAAAGCTTCAAAAAGATTTACCATGTTTTAATAATTTTATTAAAAGATCAGAAGCTCTGCTTTTCAGTTTTAAGTGAAAGCTTCATTACACAAACTATTTTAATGTTTTAAAACATTTCATACTGTTGCAAAAAGCTCCGCTCTGGTTTACAAATATGTATAAGCGCCTTAATTTTTTTAATAAGTTTACCGTTGTACTTGTAGTACATACAATAATTGTGTAACCGCTTTCAAAAATTTTCAATACTCCAGTTAATATTAATAATGATTGCTTGGAAAATATGAAATCTGTTTAAGAAAAGCGAATAGAAAACTACAAAAACTATTTTTAGAAAAGATAAAATTAGTAAATTCAGGAATATATAAAATTACACATTGAGTATTCTGCTCGTATCTTTACCAGAGTTTTTCAAATTTCCATGAATTCTTATTCTATTCCGAAACACTTAAAAAAAGTAAACAATATCAGCTTTTTTATATAAATTAAACCAATTTTACAAATTCAATAAAGCACAAAGCAAGCACTTACAAAAAATCATTTATATAGCTTTTATATAGCTTTTGTATAATTTTGTGCTTTCGGGTTCTTTGAATATTTTCCCTACTTGATTTTTAACTTTTACAGCTTTTATTTTTCAAAGTTCACATTACAAAGGAACCCTAAACACTTTTAAGCACCTAAAAAGCTTTCGAATAGTTATTTTGTTTCTTGTATAATTTTGTTTGCTACATTGAATTATTCTATTGTACATACATAAGTTATCAAAAAAAATTTCAACTGATTCTCAAAAGCTTTGAAGCTTTTAAAAATATTTCACATGTGCTCAAGCTTTGATTTTGCAATATTCTATTTGTAATTCTATTAAAAAATTTATGTGCACCAAAATTCCAACTTAAACTGAACGAAACCTCACTCGAAAGCTTTCCATTGTAGTTGTATTATCAAACAAATTATTTCATTACTTTTGCATTAGCACTTAAATTGATCCAGTGTGCTGACCATGCTGCAGCCACACCCCAAATTATGCACCGGTTTTAACTCTGTCGAAGAATGCTATGAAGTGCCGAAGGCGTTGTAATGCTTAAACTTTTAATGCTTTTTTTAAGAAATATGTAAGCAACAATGTTGGCACAGGAAAAAAACATTAAAAATTTCCGATTTTTCTTTAGACTTGCCAATGTGTTTTCACTTAAGGCTCAAATACATAAATTAAAATGAAGAAAACAACAACAAAAATGTAAACAAAAATTGGCAACCAACATTTGCATTGTTCTGTTCTGTGTGGCATTGTGCCGTTAAATCATTCATTGTTGTTGCTATTAAGTGTTTTTCTACATTTATTTGCGCTCATCGATTTGCATATGCAAAATGTGGCAGGCGGTGTGGAATATTACAACAACCATTTAGCAGCGCCTATTCAATAAT